GGTAGATGCTCGTGTGGTGAGTAACTTGGTGGAGTCTTCCATAAGTGAATGCCAAATGGTCTTGACAATTTTTCAGTAGCTTCTTTCAGTAAGAAACATTTGTTTTCTTCTACAGGAATTTGCAGTACCACCAACAGATGCCCCTGATAAAGGGTATGTTGGTAAGTTAAATGATTTCATAATTTTATAGAAACACTGTAACATTTAATTCTAAGTAAGTCCTAGTAGTTGAGTTGAAGAGCAGTATTCTTAATATTGAGATATAAAGGGAGTAAAGCACATTTCCGAAAGTGCTAAAAGCGTATACAAAGCAAAATACAAAATGTCATAAATTTACCATCTGTCAAATTTGTCAAGTTTTTGTGTTTGGCGTCCACCGGTGAAACAGAATGTTGTTAGAGGGCTGTCGTTACAAACATTTCTGTTTCCGTGAATTCTTTTGTTTTAAACTGTGCAGCTTTTCCTTGTTATGGACCATCTGTTCCTTATGGTAGGAGCCCGTGCCTTTAAAATGCAAAAAACAGTTGTGAGCAGAGGGTTACAGGTTAAGGTATTTTGAGAAGAATCCAGGAAAATGTTTGTGAAACATTTAGGATTGAGGCTTAATGTAGGTGTCTGAAACAACAAAACTGTGGAAGAACGTGAAAAATACAGATTTCTTCTTTAATCTAAGCCTAGAAATGGCATCTTACAAAAACCACACAGAGTACAAGTATGTTACTTTGCTTTCTGCCTGCAAGCGTCTGTCCGTTGTCACCACTGCCTTTGCTGTGGATTGAACGCCTTTCCTTTAGAAGCTACTTTCATAGCTGCGGAGTGTTTCTTTCAGTTCCTAACGTGGATCTGCCACCCCTGTGTTCATCGAGGTTTCGCTCTGGACCTCCTGGAGAGGAGGCCCAGGTGGCCAGCCAGTTCATTGCAGACGTCATTGAAAAGTAAGACTGGTGGGATAGAATTTTACTATCATTTACTTTCAAGTAGTTTTTGACCTTTTGCTTACTGAGGTCTTTTGTCACTTTAAATCAAGTTCACAGATAATTCAGAAAGAGGATTTATGTATTTCTTCTGGAAAGGTAAGAGGAATAGAGAACAATGAGCTTTTATTTGGAAGTGTTTTTATGGGGAAGAGTAAACACAATAGTGTTAAATGTGGAGGGCTTACAGATTTTAGATGGAACTAAAAAAAAAAATCAGTCTATAATTATCTAAATAAACTATGCAGTTCATAAAAAACAAGTTCATAAGTTTTTATCTCCCTCGTAACCATCTTTTAAATTAATTTTTCTTAACTTTTTATTCCTTATAACAAGTTCTTTTGATTGTGCTACATGGTGGATTCCAAAACTTTGCCTGCTAGAATTAGGTTTATGGGGACCTAGAGAGGCTTTTTTGTTAGGCTGTATACAAGTTAGCATTGTGAAATTGAAAATTTCATATATTAAGGTTTCTGTGGGAAAGTACATTTTGAGTTCTAGCTAGCGCTTCAAAAGCATTTCCCTCATTTAATCTAGCAAGGAGAAAGGAAATCGCTCTAGATCTCCCTTGAGGGAGATGGCGATGTTTGTCACTTGGTAGTCAGAAACAGTTTTTCACCTAACTTGTCCACTTTTGAGTCTCTATTTTGTAAAGGCAGAGCATTTTAAAAAGCTTTTGAGCCTTGAAATTTAACTTATCTAGCTAAGGGGTTCTAAGCAAATAGCATTGTTTACTACCAGAAGTTTTAATTTCTTTTTGTGTGAACTATTTTAGCTAGCTTGGGTTCTATACTGTGATCTCATTTGCCTGGACTATGATGGGAACATTTTGGATGCCTGCACATTTGCTTTGTTAGCGGCTTTAAAAAATGGTAAGCAAGTTTAATCAACGGCAGCATTCTTCCTATCGAACTGGAATGTTGTTTTGTGACACATTTAACGTACATTTGCTCAGTAAGTTAAGGGTTTTTCTTGAGATTTAGTTACAATCATGTGTTTTTAAATGAACTTACTGACATGAATTTCTAAATACACTTTGAAGTTGTACATTCTCTAGTCAAATACCTTCTAGAGTTGCCTTGACTCTGCCTGCCTGAGTTGATGAGGACCGATCTCCAGGTGTTCTCTGAGCTCTTTACGTGTTGCCTGGAGGAGTAGAATGGACTTGTTTTTACTGTCCAACCATAAACCTCACCTTTAATGGGAAAGATCCTCAGTGAGGCATTACGTAGACTGGTTTGAACTTGTACATACTCCTATTATTGTAGTGCCAAATTGATAATACAACTGAAGACGTAACAGTAGTCTTATAAGGCTTAAATTTTAATCGTATCTATCATTGTGCTTAAGTTTCCTAATCTAAATAATAGAACAAGGATGATAATACTTTGTTAACTGTTGATGAGTGAATTAATACAATGAAAATGTGAAAATGCTTAAACAGTTACGTGGCATAAGGGCTAGGCATTTGATTTCTTAAACTTAAAAAAAAAGTGAAATAACTGGGCAGGAAGGGTAGGCATGGTGGTGCAACCCTGTAATACCAGCACTCCTGTGGCTGGGGCAGGAGGATCACCGTGATTTTGAGGCCAGCCTGAATTACATAGTGAGACCCTGTCTCAAAAAAACAAACAACAACAAAAAATTGGAATGTCATGAATAGATTTTGAAATACAATGTATATCTCCACACTGTGTATGTAATAGTTCTAAGATTCTTTTAAAAATGTTCTGTACAAGAGGAAAAAAAGTGAATTAAGAAAGCATAATGCAACTACTGGAAATCAGTGTGGAGATTCCTCAGGAAACTAGGATTGCAGGTCCATTTGACCCAGCTATTCCCCTTCAGGGTAATTAAAAACGTCGTACCACAGTGATACCTGTGCACCCACGTTTATAGCAGCACAATCTGTAATAGCTAGATCTTAGAAACAACCCAAATGCCCATTAGAGGAGGAATGGATAAAAAGATGTGGTCTTTTTATACAGTGGAGTACTACTCAGCCATAAAGGAGGATAAACGGGAGACTTATAGGTAAATAACTTGAGATTATACTCATAAGTGAAACAAACTAGATGCACATGTGTAAACATCATACTGTCTCCCTAGTGTGAGAAGCTGAAAGAGTAAATAAATACAAAATGTACAACAGATATTGTAAAATTGAAAGAAACTTCAACAAAAGAAAAGACAAACTGGGATGGGGGAAGAGAAAAGAAGGAAAAGCAAAAAAAGAATTGCATATATAATATACAAGGTAGTCAAGATAGTTATACTATTAATTTCTCTTAGTTCATTGAAAAGAAAGGTTGGTGCGAACATTGTTTGGACAATTAAATACTGGTGTCTTTACTCTGAGTACTAACTTAAAAGATAACAATACACAATGTATTAGCCATCATTACCTTCCTATTTTGAATTTTTTCTCTTTTCAAAATAACAGGCATAGAAACCTTGGTAACAGACATTTTGCTTATCTGCTTTTTTCTAGTACAGCTGCCTGAAGTCAGAATAAATGAAGAAACTGCTTTAGCAGAAGTTAATTTAAAGAAGAAAAGTTACTTGAATATTAGAACTCACCCAGTTGCAACTTCCTTTGCTGTGTTTGATGAGTAAGTTAATCAAACATTTAAAGATTTCCACATTCAAAAGTTGAAACTTTTCAGAGAAACACCTATGGTGACCCTATGTTCTAGTTAGCCCTGGACATTTTGTTTTTTTTTGAGACAAGGTTTTGCTGTGTAGCTCAGGCTGGCCTCTAACTCATGGTGATCCTCCTGCCTCAGCCTCCTAAGTGCTGGGATTTCAGGTGTGCACTACCACACACGGGCCCTGGACATTTGGTCCTTGCACAAATATTTTTGTCAACCTTTCTACCTAGTGAGCATCTTGACTTGAATGATTATTTGTGGGCCCACCTTCTGTGTTCCTTGGTTTACATATTCTTGTGATATTTGTGTGTGTTGCTGGGGATTAAACTCCAGGGCTTTGTCCATGCTAGGCAAGCACATTACCACTAAACTATACACCCAGTGCCCTATATTTGTGTAATCGTATTTCCAGTTCTTTCTACTAAGTAACTGAAGCTATCCTTAAGATTTGTCACCAAGGACTTTGGTATGCTCAAAAATTTAAGAACAAAGTTTTCTTTCTTTAGTAAGAATTAGATAGTAGGTTGCTACTTTTCTTTCCTAACAGTTCTAGTCTAGCTCTTTTATACCTAAGCTAAAATGCAGGTAGTACATTTCATATTCTTTTAAAATAAAGTGTGTTCTATGCATTTGATAATTTTTTTTTTTTTTTTTAAATAGCACTTTGCTGATAGTTGACCCTACTGGAGAGGAGGAGCATCTGGCAACAGGAACCTTAACAGTAGTGATGGACGAGGAAGGCAGGCTCAGTTGTCTTCACAAACCAGGCAGGTTCTTGCTACCTAAGTTTCGAACATGTGGAGATGAAAGCTCAGTGTGAACATTTATTAGGGTGGGCAAGTAGAGTGTAGCAAATTATTGGTTACCTAATACGTTTATTAGCTTAGACTGTCTATCAGTGGTTCCCAGTATCTGTCAGGATCTCTTGTAGGTCTTGCAACGTAACTTGCAGATCTTGAGGTCGTACCACCGGTAGGCGTTACCCATCTTTTGTTTTATAATTTAGCATGACCTTGATGTTTTATAAAGTGACTGAGATTAAAAGTCTTGGCTCAATAATTTCTCAGGTGGAAGTGGGCTGACGGGAGCTAAGCTTCAGGACTGCATGAGCCGAGCAGTTACAAGACACAAGGAAGTAAAAAAACTAATGGACGAAGTGATAAAGAGTATGACACCCAAATAAACCACCACGTTTTCAAAACAGACTTGTAAAAACTGTATTTGTCAGACTGTGCACAAACTTTTTATACTAAATAAATATCAAACTGCATTCTTCTGTAAAAGATGTTTCCAGTATTTCTTAGTTCCCTTCCATATATATTGTATACAGTAAAACCATTTTTAAAAAGCAATGACTTAGGCAGACCAACCCTGGTTCATGAAACTATTTCCCTGTTTTTATTTAAAAACCATAGGGTTGTACTTTTGTATAAAGTTTGTACATTTAGCGGTGTAAAATACACATTAAAAAACAAGATGAAGTAAAAACTCAATTCTTTTGATTCAGTGTTCTCGGGCTTTTAAAAAAAGAGAAAGGAAAAAAGAAAACTCAGAATTTGGGAGTAGTTGGAGTGCCTCTCTTCATTTTACTTTTTGACCTGTGGCCTGAATGTCGATGATGATGTAGCTGAGCTGTTTGTGCTGCCGCTGCCGCCACAGCCATTTGATGCTGCAAGAATCGCAACTGCTGCAAAATTGAGGGGGAGAAATTCAAGTCAGGTTAAAAACAGGTGTGGTAAGGAGCTTTTCCTGAGAGTGACGAAAACAACCGGAAGGGAGAAGAGCACCAAGGTAACAAAAAGGGACCATAACACACCGAGACAGTGCACAGTCAAACAGCACCAGTGGCACAGAGAGAAGCCTGCTGAGGGCTTGTAAGTGATCTTGACACACTTCACCATTGATACTTTGCCCTGCCACCTAAATTGCAGCAACTCAGCAACTTCAGTTACCATTTTGTTATTTGATAATAGTTTACAGCAATATAAGACCACCCTGAATATCAAGATATTCAACTATAATATTCTGACTTTCTTTACTAAAATAATAAAACAGTTTTATATATAAACAGGTATGACAGTTACTAATAGGAACACTTCTGCGGTACGTTAACCAAAAGTTAACAGTCGGCACTTTAGAACTATTTTAAAACATTGCCAACTAGAAAAATGTATGTTAATGTGCCACCAGCATTTCAAGACAGATTCTACATTAGGAAAACAGGCTTCAATGCACAAAATACATTCAGTGCTCCAAGCTGACTGGCTAAGATGTCAAACTTCTAAATAAAATTTACTGTTATTTACCAATTACTGTATAGTCTTAAAAGACAGTAAAACTGAGAAAGGTATTTTGAGGTACTTTTGGAGCTGAGTATCTTAAAAATGTAATGCGAGTGAAGTTGCTGGATTACTTGGATCTGCTGCTGCTGCTGCTGAAAGGCAGAGGAGAGCTGGAGTCTCTGCTGAGGGAGGCTTTGCTCAGGTCTGTTCTCGGCAGAGCCAAGCTGAGACAACACTACAGAGAGGAGAAGGGAGAGCAGGCCAGTCAGAAAGTCTGAAGGCTACCAGGGTTAGGAAAGGGCAACACGGAAAATGAAACAGAAAAGTTAGCAGTATGATTAATTTTAAGTGTCAAATCACAGACATTTCAGGATAAATGTAGTTTGCTGTTAGTTGAAGGTGTCACTGATTAGGGAACTTTCTGGACACAGAAAGGGAAGGGGGTGCACCTTATCCCTCTCTTGCCCCTCAATGAAATTTGATATTGGTGCTATTTTAAAAACTATTTCTTCTGTGATATAAAATAGAGCACATTATTTCAAAAACATACCCAATGAAATAGGAAAAGGGGGATGGAAGAAACCCAACTATCCTAGTAACAAAACTGGTAGACAAGTGCTTCAAACAAGGGATAATGACTACCAGACTGTTAACAGTAATGGTGGTAAACACAGTTTTCAGCTGACTAAGACCATACTAATCAGGTTAAGCCTTTCATGTACAGACGAGGAAGTTTAAGCCCTACATGGTTTAACACATTAACGACAGGGCTGCAATTCATGTCTCATTCGTATGTCTCACTGCCGGTGGTTCAGGTGGCCGGCATGAGTTGAGGGACTCGAAGTAATCATTCAGGGGCAAATGTGGAGCCGGAAACATTCTCATGATTTTTTAGCCCAGAGTTCTTTCCATTAAGTTTACCTTACTGCTATTTTAAAAAATTTATTATCTGTATGGTAACGGATATAGTTACGAACTTCCATTTGGAAATTAGCTATGAATTAGACGTTTAGGTAAAATTACTTATTTTCAGAATAAAGACCTTGACTCTACTATGCTAAAGGACTTCTAAATTCAGGAACGGGGTTATATAGAAATGCCAAAGCATCATAGCCCAATGTGACAATTACAGTGTTGACATACTCAATCCTTAAATCCTCAAATCTGTCACAGCTCTCTTATGAATGTAGCTTACTGATTTTAAATGAAAGTGAAATTAGAATTTCTGTCCTCTATTGACGAAAGTATTCACTATATTTGGGTTACTATTTACTTCTAGAAGCAGTGGGGTAGTCCTTCATTTTAGTTTCACTTTTTACAAATGTCCTACAGAAATGTTATCATTAAGATTTAAGTCATAATTACAAGCTACAGAATGAGACAACTGCAATCTAGGAAAATGTAGTCTCAAGTATCTAAGAAAACTGAAGAGTTAACATATATTTATCATAAAAATTGAAAATAGCTTTGACAGCTTCTGAATAAGTTAAGTAACTGTATAAAATTTTGTCAGTAAACTAATATTAGGAAAACTACTGTATTAAAAAAAAGCTCTCAACTGTTAATGAAAAAATTCTTAGCGATCGGTAAATCTATTTAACAGGTCACAGATTAAATATAAGCTTGTTTTTTCTTGATTACAGCTTGCAAGTAAGCGGCAAGATTCCGAATACATTACTTTTAGGAAGTTCAGCATGTAAAACTATGAAGATACGTACCAGCTGCCTGTGACTGCATAAAACCTCCTACTCCAGTGAGGTTAATGACAGCAGAATGCTGAGCAGATAAGGCCTGTTCTTGAGTAGTTGAACCTTGTTCACAACTCTGAATTAAAAAAATAATAAATGACATACAAAAACAGGAAAAACAATTTTCAGATTATAAAAATAATTTTTTTCCAGTGTAAGAGAAAATATATCATTAGGTTTTCTAAAAAACAGTAACAATATAAACACCATAAAATTGTGACATTAAGATTTAAATGAAAGAGAAATTTTTTAGAATTGAACCTGCATTTGTTTGATGCTAAATTAATAATCCCTAAGACTTTCTGCATTTTTGGACACAAAGTCTCATTATTTTATACTCTGCTAAGACTTTTACAAGCTGTACTGAAAATTGTTTTAGGGTTAAAACACCATTTGCAATATAATACTGGAACTTCTTAGCAGGGTAACTCAAGAAATGAAATAAAAGGCGTAAGGGTTACAAAAGAAAAAAAAAAATGCCCATATATGCAAATGGTAGGTTTATGTAGAATATATGGAAAAATCAACCGAAAAGTAAGTTTAGCAAGTATACTAGGAATAAAAATTTGAAAACTAAAATACATTGATTGATTTGGTACGAGGAATCGAACTTAGGACCTTGCACTTGCCAGGCAGGCACTGTGCCGCTGAGCTATATTACTGGCTCAATACCGTAATTTTTTTTTTTTTTGGTCTTTTTGAGACAGGGTCTCAATGTGCAGTTCAGGCTGGCTTTGAGCTCACTTTGTAGCGCAGGCTGGTCTTGAACTCACAACGATCCTCCTGCCTCAGCCTTCCAAGTGTGGGGATTATAGGCGTGTGCCACCATGCCTGGCTTCAATACCATAATTTATTTAAAAACAAAGCAAAACCCCGTAGGTACAAATCTAACGGAACACATGCAAGACTTTTAGAGTGTACACTATCAAGACAGTAGGGTATTTATTGGCTGGTAATAAACAGCAGACCAATGAACAGGACAGAGAACCGAGAAACAGATCCACACAGCCAGATGACAAAGGAGCCAAATAATTCAATTGAAGAGACAGCTTTTCAACAATTGGTGCTGAAGCAACTGTACATTTACAGTCTCCTCTTAAAAAATACTGAATGGACCTAATTACATATTTTATACCAAAATTAAAAATAAGCCATTAGGGGCTGGGGATTTAGCTCAGCGGCAAAAGCGCCTGCCTGGCAAGCGCAAGGTTGTGAGTTCGGTTCCCGGTACCGGAGAAAAACAAAACAAAACAAAACAAAAATAAGCCATTAATTTAAAATAAAAACTATACAACCATTAGATGAAATAGTGAAAAAAAATATTTGGGACGTAGGACTCAATCTTGATACTCAAAACACATTTTAGAAAAAGAAAAAATTAACTTGGACTTCATCCGAATTAAAAACTTTCGCTCAGCAAGACACAATGGCTGAAATATTTCAGTATAGAATATAAGCCAGACATTTAAAAAAATCTGCACTTATCTTGAGGGGACATCTCTGAACAGCAAAGCACAGAGCTGATGTAAGAGAACCCTCCTGAACTTGGGACAAGGTACACGAAATGAACAATATAAAAAAGCAAACCACATCACCGCCAGCACACAGCTATTATAAAACAAAGAAAAAAATCCAAAGTGTAAAAAACAATACCTGATAAAAATTTCTCCCCTAAAAACATCTTACAAAGGTGAAGAAGATTGTATATATCATAAATGGAATAGTCACAAATATGCAGGAATAATGACTACCTTGAATAAGAGCTAATAAAAATACTTGGGGAAAGACTAAAAGGATAAAGATATACTATGCTAATATTAATAAAGATGAAGCAAAAACTGTATCACCAGAAAGAAGTCACTTATTATAAGAAGCCAATTAAAGACAATGCTAAATGTGCATGTACCCAACAATACAGCTTCACAAATAACCTTTTGCAAAAACTGACAGAACTAAAAGGAGAAACAAATTTCCAGTTTGTGCGACAGAATTCTCAGTAACGGAGCAAAGGAAAGAAACTCAGGAGTAGAAGACTTAAACATTACCATCAAACACACAACACACTACAAGTGATACAGAATACTCTTAGCATGTGATACACATTCTCTCATACACATGTAGAATATTTCCCAAAACATTATCTTCTGGATCATAAAACAGACAAGTAAACTTAAAGAAATGGAGCATGTTTTCAGTGGACTTAAACTAGAAATCTAAGCTGGGCATAGCAGAGCACTGCCTGTAATCCCAGTACTTAGGGAGGCTGAGGCGTGAGAATTACAAATTTAAGCCCAGACTAGGCAACTGAGCAACTTGAGGAGACCCTGTCTGAAAATGAAATAGGGGGAAGGATGTGGCTCAGTGCAAAGGCCCTGGGTTCAATGTCTAGTACTGACGAAAACACAAAACAAAAATCAGTAAACTTGAAATCAATTACAGAAAGCTACCAGGAAAATCCCCAAATATGTGGAAATGAAAAATTTATCTAAAGCCCAGGTAAGAGGAATTTACAAGTGATAATACATCCTTCTAGAAAAGTAAGGCATAGCATATCAAAATCAGTGGAAAAGTAGCTTAAGCAATGCTGTGAAGGAGATGGGTGATATTAAATGTTTACTTTAGAAAAGAATGATCTCAACCCAGTAATGTATGATTTCCAGGAAAGTGTTCAGAAAAATAGACCTGAATCTACACATTAAAAAGGCCCAGAGGGAAGACATGGAAAGACCAATTCCCATATGTATCAGAGTGAAAATATTAGTCTTTGAAAATAAAGATAAACCTTTGGATCCTCTAACCAAAATGACTAATTAAATATGCTCAGACCAGCAAGAAAATTAGACTGGCAACAGACTTCTCGAAAACATACAAAGCAAATGGGGAGCATTTTCAATATTAAAGAGAGCCAGCTGTGGTGGTGCACACCTGTAATCCCAGCACTTGGAAGGCTAAGGCAAGAGTGTCACTTCAAGTTCAAGGCCAGAACTAGAGTGAGCCCCTATCTAAAAAAAAACCAAAAACCAAAAACAACCCCCGTAAATACATACTACATACATACATACACATACATTTAAGGAGAGAACTAGAACTGTTGAACTCGTAGAGAAAAACAGGGAGAAAGCTTTGGGACACTGGGTTTGGCAATAATTTTTATAATATAACCCAAAGTCATAGACAAGGAAAGCAAAAATGGATACAATGAACTACATCAAAATTAAAACCTTTTGTGCAAAGAATACAAAGACTGAAAAGGCAACCTACACGTGGAAGTATCTGCATATTACACCCGATATACATGTATAAAAACAACTAGAAAAATAAATATCCTAATAAAAAATGACCAAAAGCTCTGAATAGACACTGCCCTGAAGATTAAATAAAACCATCGTGTATCTGAAAAGATGTCCCACACCGCTAATCACTTGGCACTTCACAGGAAGTGCAAATCAAAACCAATGCGACTATCACCTGTCATTCATTAGGATGGCTAGGGGTGAGTATAGAAGCTCAGTGGCAGCATGCATGTTTCCCAACTAGTGAGACTCTGGCAAAAGGACTGATGGTGACATATGTATTTTTTTTTTTCTTTTTTTTTTGCAGGACTGGGGATTGTCTAAGGGCTTCAAATTGAACTGTATCTCCAGCACTTTTTTCCCCAAGACAGGGTCTTAAGTCACTTAAGTTACCTGGGCTGGCCTCACACTTACGATTCTTGTACCTCAGCCTTCCACAGGGTTGAGATTACATGTGTGGGCCACCACACTTGGCTGAACATTTCATATATTTAATTGTGTAATAGGGGTAGGACCCAGGAATCTATAATATATAGATGTTAGTTTCCCAGGTGATTCTAGAAGGTGGCCCAGGTTCAGAAATACTGGTAGCTCTCCTTCTAATTTTTTGCTGTTACTCAATTTCACTGTGTTTAGCAGTGTGTAACATTTGCTTCTGTCCATGTTCCTGCTGCCCTATACTTCACAATAATGTAGACAGCTCTATTCTAGCAGCAAACACAGGAATGATGACGACAAGGCCAGAGACCTGGTCCTGTCTTTCGAAGTATGGCTATGAGTCATTTTTCTCAGTCTGATCCCCTCCGCACAAGATCCGACATCACCTATTGAGAATGTCTGTTCTACTAAAAATAGGTACCCAGCAACTGAATTATTACTATTAATAAAGAAAGAGTACAGAAAGTGTTTGTTCCAACAAGTCAAATAAAACAACCTGAAATATGATTGGAATACAGCAAACAATGTCCCACTTCTGCAGTCACAGCACAGAAGCACAAACCTACCTGCTCTCCTGGCTGCTGAGGACTGGAGGCTGTGGGCTGCAGAGGCTGCTGGGGTGCGAGCTGGGAGAGATGCTGCTGCTGCTGCTGCTGCAGGGTGTTAAAGATAAGCGAGCCACCGGGAAGCTATTTTGAATTTAAACAAGAACAAATTAGCTACTTTCACATTACTGTACATTTATATGAAATATTCCAATTTCTTTATTCCATGTATTTTTTGGGGAACATTTACTATGTATGTATGTGTCAGGCACTCTTCTAGGTATGTACTGAGGAAAAGGTGAAGAAAAAGTAAAACTGATTAAGTTACCTGTCCTTAAAAAGGGTCTATTTGGAAGTAATTTTTAAGTGCTGTAACTCTGGGTTTCAAGTATATTAACATTTTCAAACAAATCTTTCTGCTTCAAAGTAAACAACTATCCAAACTTATATACAATTATTTAGCTCTTCTTATATTTAATATCAAAGAGTATTACATGCACTAGAAATAAATAAGATGCCACAAATCAGAAATATATAAACAAAACCTGTTCCCTAAAATTTGTTCTAGCTTTGTCAAAAATTCAGTAATATATGGATTTTAATATAATGCAGTGAGGAATTTTGCATATTTAATGGGGAGACCATTACTGTCATTCTGGATTCATATTCATTTAATTTTTTAAAAAATTTAAAAAAAGAAATACCCAGAAAATTAAAGGTAGACTTTTTTTCCCCCCCAGTGGTAATCGAACTTACAACCTTGCGCTTGCCAGGCAGGTCCTGTGCCACTGAGCTAAATCCCCAGCCCTGAAGGTAGACTTTTCAAATACACCAGGAAACAGTTTTTCCTTTTTAAGCTATAATGGGTTAGTAATAGACACTTTGAGGTCCTTATAGAAATTCCAAGTATATACCAATCACAGAATTCTTAGGTCTAAATAGTCAAAACAACAACCAAACCAACCAAAAAACAACAAAAAAGAGACTCTACCTTTTGTCAAAATTTCTCCATCTAACAAATTACTGTCAAGTAAATTTGAACATAGCACAGAAAGCAGAAGTTCAGTTTTTCCTTCCTCAATGTGTAAATACTAAATATAAGGGAACACGTACATTTTCACACTCTATCCAAGCACATCTATTGTAAGCTAACAATATACAAACTTGTACATGAAAGGCCTGCTGAGAGTAGAGTTATATCTACTACCTCTACTGTGTGCATGTATAGGACCAGGTAGGTATAAAAGTTCTTGATTAAAGAGGGCTGTAGGAGTAATTACAAGTGAGGTGTATAAAATACTGTTTCCCCTTATCCAACCGATCACACAAAGGTAGCAGTAACTGCACCCTTAGAAGATTCTGAATAGACCTCAAAATTTCTTTTTTTTTTGTCTTTTTTTTGAGGCAAGGTCTCACTATGCAGTTCAGGCTGGCCTTGAGCTCACTTTGTAGCCCAGGCTGGTCTCGAACTCGCAACCATCCTCCTGCCTCAGCCTCCAAGTGCTGGGATTACAGGCGTGCGCCACCACGCCTGGCTTAGACCTCAAAATTTCAAAGGGTAATCTGTATACACTGTTGGAAAAAAAATGAACTTTAATCAAAAGCAGTGCTGCAGTTTTACCTGGAGTAGATTTAAAGGCCTGAGACTTGAAGTATTTTTTAAACCAAATGGAACACCTGTTAAATGAAACTCATGGTTATAACATAATTACAACTGTATTACCTTTGAAAATGATTTCTAGTTCAGTATATATAAAGACATTTCATATACTTTCTCCACAGATATACTTATTTTCCATATTTAAAAAAGCTTAAACACATTTTCTTCAATTATCAATACTGAGATTTTATTCAAAGATTCACAATAGTAATGTACATTATACTCTTTATTTCAGAAACTCAGATTTCTTTTTCACTATTGCAACTACTGTCTGTAAAAAGAGTAATTTAGAATTATATGGGCACCATGAATATGCTACAACTATTTCTGTTGTCTGTTGTGTAAATATATTTAAGATACTGGCACCTACATTTTCCAGTGCTAAATGATGTATAATAATCCTGTCTCTAAAAACTGAACTGGTGTGCTCTATACTATTTTTTTTTTTAAGTACAGAGGCTATCAGAATGCTAAAGTGTGTTGAATTTTGTAGGTAAGGATCAAAACCACACATCAGAAACAATGGTTAATTCTGAACTTACTCCTAAAAATTAGTGGCACAAAATATAGCACCTCTTTAAGTGCAAGATGGGTAAACATTTTTAGTAAAGAGCCACAATGTAGGTATGGTAGGTCACACACAATCTCTGATACGTATTTTCCTTCTTTTATTTTAAAAATGTGAAAACTTAGTGGGGTAGCACGCACTTGTAATTTCAGCATTTGGGAGCCTGAGGCAGGAGGACTGCTCTGAGTTCAAGGCTAGCCTGGGCTAACTAGTGGGTTCAAGAGCAGCCTGAACTACATAGTGAGACCCTGTCTCAAAAAACCAAAAAATATTTAAAAAGTAAAAACCACTCTTAGTTTAGACTGTGAACTTGTCTGCTTACCCTGTTCTCAAGGTAGGTATATATTTTGTTCACTTAATGAAACACTCTAAACACTAATTAAAAATGTATCTTGTCCTTTATCATATTTTATTGAAAAAGATGAGGCAGAAAATTCACACTGAAACTATCAAGGTCCTGCATAAGAAAGTGACAAAGTGTAGTTCAATGATAGTATGATAAAACTGGCAACGCTTTCAAGAAAAAATGCTCATGAACACGTGGCTTAAACAAAACTGTACACTGCATGGTACATAAAGGTGGATGACATCTGTAGAGTGCTTTCCAACTTAGGAAAGGCATTTTCATACTTTTCTTTCTCAGAAGTACTGAAGCTAAAACATTTTTTACTCTCATTTTACAGTGCATAAAACTGAAGCCTAGGGAAAAAATTTAGGTGACCTCTCTAAGGTCCCATGGTTAGTAACTGCAGCCATCTCTGACTGGTACTACTGATAAAGTTAATGTACATATAAATATCCTAATTGAAGATTTAATTCTATTCCCAGGGTTCTGCCACTAATGTCATTTATGTTCATTAAAGTAAAATACAAGCTAGGATATGAAACCACTGCAACATGTTAACAGGTTTAAATTCTAATTCTCATAATCCATAGGAAATTTTGGATAAATTTTTTAATACTGTTTTTTTCTGTTAAATTTCTCAACAGCGAGAAATGGAATCATTCCAAGGTACACTAATACCTCGGTTTACCAATGCTTCAGTTTACAAGCAATTTGGTTTGACAAAATTTTGCTTCTGTTTGCAAATTGTTTCGGTTTACAAACTAACCCACTGCCATCGTCTTCCCCACACAAACATAAACGCAGCCATCTTTCCAAAGTTGTAAAACAAATTAAGTTCATAAACTGAGGCATCACTGTATTATAATACATTCTTTTAAACAACATCAGAAAATGGCACAAGTTTTCTAGTACATAGAAAACCACTACAATAAACTATTATTACAATGATGATGACTACTTTTTGAATGCTTGTCTCCTGTACTTCATTTATGTTTTCTCATTTTATCTTCATAACTAGGAGATAAGCTCCTATTGCCATTTATTTATTGAATTTCATACAGGAGGCAAATGAGGCACAAAGGTAAATTTTCCAAGATTACACATACAATGAGTTGCCCAAACCAAACTCAAGTAGTGGCAGTGAGACTCCACAACATAGGCTTCTAACTAACATGCTGTGTTGCCTCTTATACAATAGGTATTTTCAAAATACATTTACTTTCCCTGCAACAAGGCTAGTAAAATTAATTACCATCAGAAAGCAAAAGAAAACATGTACATAGGCTTATAAATTTACCAAGTTTCTTCACAGAAGTTAGTAAATTCTTTCGTTTTAAGTTCAAATACCAGAATTTTAAAAGGCTTGAAAATTAAATACGTAGGGTGTAATACTTCATCAAGTAACAAAGATGCCTTTAGTAATAACCTTAAAGTAACATTTTTTACTTTATCATGTACTTCAGTTTTTCAGCAGTTATTATTTCCCGTCTTCTGACCTGCTCGAGACGCTGCCTGCACGGTGCTGGGCAATGCATTTGGTAGCAGACTCCCCGAGGGGAGAAGGCCAGTCAGGTTTACTCCTGCAGGAGTTATGGCACCAGTGTTACAGCCCAGCACAGGATTTGAACCAGTCATCAAAGCCTGGGCCCCACTGCAGGACAATAAGACAAAGCATTAAACTTGTACTATAAAAAGAAAAGTATGCCACATAATCCCTCACATTAAAAAATGAATTACAAAACAAAATCATTTCTGTTTTCAAGTTCAATTTTCTGCTCAGTATCATTTTCAGAATGTCAGAGAGGCGGATACTGGCGGCAAGGTTGGCTACAAGTACGCACTGAATATGTATCACAGTTTTGAAATATCATTTGGAAAGTACTAACCAAGGGATTGAAAGGTGGTAAAAGAGGACAAACAGAAAAATCTATGCCACTATCAATATGAAGGATCTCAGTACACATAATAGATGCATAACTAAAACTGAAACACAAGTGAGACAACTTCTTTCCATATGTAAACTACTGACTCTTTCCATTTGAATAATATACAATTTGTTCTTAATCTCATAAATACGTATTTATTTAGGTGGGTGAGAGTATCTTAAAAAGATCAGGTCATCCTTACAAACTTACCAAACAGAGCCCACTACATTGATGAAGTTAAATCCAGCAGAGTTTGCCATGACCTGGGTGGCTGTGGTTCCTGCAGTTATAGATGTTACCATGGTGGAAAGAGGAATGGTCGTTACAGGCATTGCCTGGCTCAGAGACATTTGCTGCTGAGCAAACTGAGTTAACAAAGTGGGCTGAGGGGTGAAGCCTGAATCTTGGGGAGTAGGGGTGGCTGAAGGGGCACTAGGAGTGGAGCTCTGAGCATCAGGAGGGTGTGGGGTCGATGAAGGGGTTGGTGTAGGAGTAGATGGCTTAGGAGTTCCAGATCCTGCTCATTGAGAAAAATAAAAATTGCTAGTTTGTTATAAATGGCCAGTCCTTTTTAAAATAAGGTTAATGGAATCTTACTTAGCACTGACAATTTGTTCCAGTTTTTTTAAGCAGTTAACTGCAAGTGTTAATTTCTACACATGATTCATGAGTGTTGCTACACTCAATTACAATTAAGGATGCAGTATATCACCTAAAAAATCCCATTAGAGATGCTATTACAGTAACAGTAAAAATAGACATTTGTATTCTACCACAATACCCATTTAAAAGTCCTCATTTCCTACATGCTGCCTTTGGCCTAAAAGGTTCACAAGGAATTCAAATTAAAGTTTTGTTATTTACTATTTCACTAATTCAAGACTTTAAAAAATACTGCTTAGTGTAATAGTCTGCAATAAACTGTGAGCATATTTATAAATTACGTAAGCTAACAATCATATTTGGCACCTGCATATACATGTTGAAGTCCTAACACATCAAGGTTACCCTGACAAACAAATTTACAAAAACAACAGTAATAAGGTAAGTATCTGATAGATAATACTGCATCTTTAACAGTAACTGTGTACTTCTGTTTAAATGTAGAATGTATAGAAAATCTGTTGTGAATGAAGTATGCACAGTTTAGCAATTAAAAAAAAAAAACAAAAAAAACCAAAAAAGTAAAACCAAAAGCTCTTGAGGTGTTTTCTTTTTTAGCTTTCATGTCCTGCAGAAAGAAAGGAAAGAAATGTGAATGTCCAGAAGCTGTCACTCAACCCTTACTTAAAGTAACAACTGTGTGCAGTAGATTACCATAATGCATACCCACAACATAAGAAGTGTGAATAAGACTTTCAGAAAATTTATATACTTTTCTTTGTGCAAAACAAGAAGGCAGAAAAATTACACCTTTTGAGCTATCAAGAGGAAGATGTTTACATCTAATTCGAAGACCGTCCTATCGCTGTGCAGCGTTCTAAAACTTTCAGCACACGTTGGTAATATATAAAAAATCTAAAAAACTGGAATGCTTTTTTTCCCCCCAAATTGGCACCTAATTATTTAATTATCAGGTAATTACCAATTTGAAGAAACTCTCCCAAATTGTTTTTAGCGTTCATGTATAATTCTTCTTGATGTTAAAAAAGTATCCAGTAGTAAAAATTACATTTTAGTATTTTCAGAATAATGCTTTATATGATCATCATCACATTTTAGTAACTGACAACAATTTATAAGAGAGTGTAGGAGTGTTTCTGAAATACTGGTTTTCAGTTTATTTTATCATCATCTTGGAACTAACTGGGTTATTACACATACAAAGATAGGACCTGCAGCAACAATTCTTAGGACTTTTTTTCCACATCAGCCACATAGTTCACATAAAGTGTAAAATGATCCTAGGGTATACTGGAATAAAAAATATTTTGGAGTCTTACTGCCAAATGTTAACTATCAGAATATTTTTTAAGGAGTTGTGTAGGTTGAAAGTCTAGGAGAAAGGTATACATAGAGTGCATATACAGATACAGGAAAACACACTACAATGAACATATAATACATACAAACAAGAACTCTGCCTCAAGCTTCCAAAACTTACACATTTTCGGTACACAGTACGTTTAGATTTCACTATTCACAGGTAGAAAAAAGTTGTCTTGAAAAACACTGATGCAAAAGCTTACGAAAATTTACTGAAGAACTGAAGTGAGGACTCACTTTGTGATGAGCTGGCAGGTGACAGGGCAGCTGGAGAAAGCATACTAACTTGACTGAGATCCATTGATGACTTCCGAGAAAGATTTGGTGGCTTAGAAGAAGGAGGAGGAGTTGGGGACTTAAGAAAGCTACTGGCTTGTTGTGGTGTGAAATAGTTACCTAGAAGAAGAACATGAGAATTATTTCCTAGATTTATAATTCAACATTCTGTGAGTTGCAGAAATATAAATGAGTAAAGTTTTAAAAAAGATTATGATTCTGGGACTTTTTTACTTAGGTCATAGGAAAGAAAGGATTTTAATACCTGAGGCACTATTTCCTGAGCTTGAGGGAAGTTTGATGGGCGGAGGTCGATGTTTTACTCCCTTCCCCAATACTGAAGACTGAACTGACACAGTCTCCGCCTGCTGAAAGGCAATGACAGTAAACATACCTGTTAAAATTAAAGTTACTATCACAGTAACTCCTAGATGAAACCAATTTTCAACTCTGCAAACTATTCCTAGTGGTCACAGACTCAATATCACAGATGTAACACAGGAATATAATTTCACACAAAACCTATATAATATATTGCAGCACACCTACAGGATGAGGGAAAGACTTCTGAGCAGCTGAGAGGAGAGAGAGAATCTGAGGGAGCCCAGAAGAGTAAGATGAGGGTGAAGCTTCCAAACTCCTCTATCCTTCTTTGCTAGGAAAGTAACTGCTGAAGCTGGATGACCAGCACACAAGTATTCATCATACTATCCTTTCTTTGTGTGCTTCTGAAATTTTCTATCATAAAAAAGTTAGAATCAAAACTAAATAATCTTGCTGCCTCTCAAAATATAATCCTTAACATTTGTTAGATTCCTTGAGAAACAATTAGGTACAAACAGTAATGAAACATACTTCTGTTTCTTTCCCAGGAGAAAGCTGGTTTAGACTGGTAGAGCCACTAGAGCTGTGTGACATCTTGACTGGACATTTGGCTTCATTCTGGACCAATTCCTGGTACTGATTAACTACCCTGAGTATCAGGAGAAAATAGATAAGGACTGCTTGCCCTATTTAAAACACAAATTTATTATAAAGAAAATGAATAATGCTGTTATTGGAAAATATGTTCCATGAAATCTAACACAAAAATGAAAATTAAGGTAACTTATCTTTGTGTTAAAGGCTAATCTTCTGAATGACAAATTCATGTTAAAAACATTCTGCTAACACATTCAAGATACATTTTCAATATTTTACTTCTAATTCAGAAATTACAGGGGTAATTTAACCAATAAGCAGCCCAAGAAAGTACTCACTGCTTTACTCTTTATGTACTTATTTTCTGTTTTTTAGTACTGGGACTTGAACTCAGGACCTGTGCTTACCAGGCAGGTGCCTGTGCCACTGAGCTATATCCCTGGCGCTCACTGCCTTATTCTTAAAGTCAGACTAAAATCATCTTCTATGGCTACATTACATGTCTAAGTTTTCCTATTTAAAACAAAATTATATTTAAAACATTATTCTTTTAACTATTTTCTTGATTCCATGAAAACATCCTAGGTATTAAAATATCAGAAACATACAGTTGAGTTCTTCAGAATCTCATCCTATGAAAATAATTATTTTTAGCCATTTGCGATATCACATCTTTTGATATTTTTCCTAGAATCAACAGCATTTTAAAGTTGGGAAGGATATTAGAGAGCTTTGTTCAATTGCGTAATTTCACATGAAACTCATAAATATTAAATGATTTACTAATGTGAAGAATTTTAAGCAGTAAATGGCATTAACTAAAATCAAAGTTTATGTCTTCTAAAAAAAGTATTCTCTAATACTATTTAAGTAGAAAGTTTTTCATATCTATCCTAGTCAAAAATAAAGATTCAAGTATTCTTTTACCTCTCGGCATCAGTCTTTGACCCAATAATGAACCTGAATGGTAAAGGGAAACAGAAAAGTGTAAGATGAAGATGTGTTAAAAAGCCGTTTCAAGCCTTTCACATTTTAGTCACAGTAATTTTATAAATAGATCTACTGAAATACCAAAAAATTTTAAAATATATTTAAACTTATGAAGCAATAACCAAATTTTGCATGTATGGAATAATTATGTATAATGTGGTTGATTTAACTCTGGGGACATTTACTTTGTCATAAGATTTATTTAGCAAAACATAATCCGAACTGAAAATTACCAATTTACCACCTGAAAATGACCACTGATAAAAGTGATGGCTTGGCCTCGTCACAAAATCACTGAATTACTGTATCTGGGGCCTTCTCGCCTTCCATTTATTTTCCTTGTGGATTTTGGAAGTCATTTTATTGTTGTCTGGTTCTAGGGATTCAGGCCATAGCCTTCACACTGAGCTGTATTTCCAGCTCTTTTTTTTGTTTTGTTTTGAGACAGGGTCTCACAAAATTGCCTAGGCTGGACTTGAATTTGTGATCCTCCTGCGTCAGCCACCCAGAGTGCCGGAATTATTGGCTATTACACCTAGCTCAAAGACATTCTGTCTACACAACAGGACCTTAGAATACATTTCAGACAAGGAAGACAGCCTATTGCCAGTTCAAATAAAAATCTCTACCATGTTCTTTTAAAAAGTTTGACTTTCTTAACAGATTAAAACAGTGCTTATTCTTCAATTACCAATTTGAATGATCATCTGTAGAGGAGCTGAAAAATATAAAATGTAAAAAAAAAAAAAAAACTCAGTTAATGCAGCTCGAATTTTAACTTCAGAATTATTCAATAATGAATTACTCATTATGAATACCAATGAAAGACTGGCAGATAATAAATCATGCAGCACCTGATGTAATGGCAAAAAAAAAAAAAAAAAAAAAGATCAATTTTTTTTCGTGTCAAAGCAGTCAGTGAGCTTTCTGGCCAAATTTCTCATGAGAAAACATATGACACCCTCATGCCCTAGAAAAGTTAGTAAGTTTAAAATGACCAATGTATGTCTCTAGGGAAGATTTTTTAAAAATATGGATAACCAAAATATATGATCTTTGTATTCTCTTAGCTGAGGAGTCCCTAACTGCTACTATTTCTGCTTACTGACTTTTATTTAAGTATTGGTGAAGCTACTCTTTAAAAATCTACCTTCCTACTAGACTTTCAATTAGTGTTTTATAAAGGGCTGTACAAACAGCTCGACATAAACTTGGCCCCTGCCTTTTTCTGCTGAGCCTTTCTTTGTATGATTCTTTTCAAAACATTATATGATTTACAAATCAGAACTGGTAATAAAACTAACAGTAAGAACTAACAAAGCTAAATACTGAGCCAGGTATGGTGGCACAGGCTTATAATTGCAGCACTCAGGAGGATAAGGCAGGAGGATCTGGTGTTCAAGGCTAGCCTCAACTAAATAATGAGGCTCTGTCTCAAAAACAAAACAAACCGTAATCCACGCTACATATATATAGTATACATATTCTGCAAGATCAGCCATATAAACTGTGAACACATAAGTAAACCAAGAAGGACACCCCAGAAATAATTCTTCAAAGCTAGCATAAAAATAATTATACTATGGTATACATTCTTTAAAAGAAATTATTATTTAAATAACTCAGACAACATGGTAACTATGATTTACATTTCTTCCATACCCTGTTAAATCTACTTGGTATACGTAACAAAAGGTGCATCCCTAAAGAGAAATTTTAACTTATTAATAGTTGCCCGTCAGTAGTTGCTAAATACCCTCTAATTTTACATGGATTTATTAGAACTCACTGAGACGGAGACATCTGGCTGTCACTTTCTTCATCTCCTTTACATGGTTGGATTTTACCATAGTAAAGTGGATCACCAAGTGACTGCAAGATGGTGAGCTTTGTTTTCTGACACTGATTACCAGCTTCATACTCAAATACATAATCATCTTTTACATCCTGCAAAAGAGCACCCCAAGTAATACCTTTTCAAGTAAGTAAGCAACCAGAATTAGCAAACATCAGAGAGAAATGACACACTAACTTATGTCTGGCAATAGGAAGATGCATGGCACTTAGATTATAGAAATGCACTAAGATTTCCTGAAAAGAAAGCTAGGATAGTTCTCTTCTAGTAAAGCATTAACATGTAACAATGAAGTGTGAACATGTAATGATACTAATAAGCAAAAATATTAACGTAACTAAAATCATAACAATAAACATTTATTGGACATTGTTGTCACTGCACTAGGGTACAGCCTCAAGAAACAGTCACGCCTGTATGGCTGGCGCCACCACCATGTTGAACTGAAGCTAACTGAGCATGAGTCTGAGTGCCTTGCCTGGAGTCCCCCACATGTACCCCGGCCCCTCTGGGGCCCTGCCTCTCTACCTTCAACAGGACTACACAGGAATTCTGCGTCACATGGTGCGCTGGGAATGGGAGCACCAACTGGTAGTTACTAAGCTTGCAAGAAATATGGCAGAGTTTTACATGCTGGACACATAAACTGCAAATGTTAACAGGATAAAACCTGAAAGCCTGATTATTTTAGTCACACACACACAAAATCGTATGTACAAAATATCTTGTAGTATTCATTCCTATGGTTTCTCTAATTTAATAATTATGCCTATCTCTCTCTCTAAGAAGTTATTACTGCAATTAGAGATTAGAACATTTCCTTTAAGAGACACCCTTAAAAGAATGTACTAACTTGAAACAACAAGCAAATGAGCACTACCAATATGCCACAAAAGCAAAAAGTAAAAATGCAATTCTACATATAAACAGCTCTTTACAATGGAACCTATATTTAAAGAAGACAAAATAATTGCTCTTTGTAATTCAATGAAATCTTAGAAAATTATTTTTTTGTTGTTGTTAAAAATGATTCCAGATTTAAAGTAACTGAATGCTTAATAAATTCAGAGCTCAGATCAGGAACACCATTACTGGAAGTGAAGGCTGGCAACAACCACTCACATGCGCTGGCCAGACTGTCGGCTGCGAGTCGTCGGATTTGAGAGACTTCTCCACCTTAGCGTATTTCTCCACCTACACAATCAAATCAAGATGCTACAGAAAATGCAATCACCATGCTGACCAAAGGGAACTCGACAATACAAATAGTTATTAACGCTGACTTCTGATTCAGTACTACATCATCAACTGCTTAATGTGTAAGCAGCGTAAGATTCTGACTGCTCAATCAAAACAACTTTAATAATAAAATAAAAGCAGAATTTCTTTGGCTATGATAGACACAGCTAGACAGTGTCTTTCTCTTCTTTTTACTCCATTAACCTCACATCACAATTGTCTTTTAGAAAAAACAGAATGTCGGAGCGAGAAAGGTAAGTAAGGACCAGGATCTTTTCCTTTTGGCCTGGTTTTTAATGGAATAGAAGTTGTCAGGTTTAATGGCAAAAAAACTAGAAACAGACCGGGGAAGATAAAATATTACAGTTGAAAAATATTTCAAATCCTTTCCATTTTTTGGGGGGGGGAGGTTTTTAAGACAGGGTCTCACTATGTAGCTCAAGCTGGCCTTGAACTTGTGGCAATCTTCCTGCCTCAGCCTCCCGAGTGCTGGGATTACAAGCATGCACCACACTTGACTTACTCTTTTCAACTTTCTGATCAAATTTGGGCTATATGTTCTGTGTTCCTAAGAATATGTGTGAACTAAATGTTCTCACTTTCTTGGAGACTATGATCTTCAGAGTAACCGAGGTAGGGATATAGCTCAGTAGTACATTCTTCACATGCTCAGGGCTGAGTTAGGTGAAAAACTCTTTTCCCCTCAAAAAGATAGTAATTTAGATTCATCTAGATACTGTTAAAAATACACATTTTTTTATTCCCCTTCCCAGGAGACAGTGATTAGTAATTAGGTCTGACCCAGGGACTGCAATCTGTATGTTTAAGTGATAGCCTATGTCAATCTCCAAATGAGTGAGTCTGAGTAACTCTGTAATTAAACCACAGCGTGTGGGTCCCAGCAACAGTAACTTGGAAGTTTGTGAGAATGGCGGCATCTACCCCCAGCCCAGATTAGCTGAATGGTAATCTACAATTTAACAAACTTCCCAGGTGACTCTTACACATCACCTGCAGCTTGAAAAGTAAGGCTTCGGACACCCAGCCCACTGCTCTCTGAAGCCCAATTTCACCCCGTTCATACCCGACACCTATTCTTACACTGTGTCTTCAAGAGCACATAGGTAACGTAGCTTACTTCCTTCAGGTGCACACATATTCTATTTTGCCTTCATGCTCTGCAGATTTTCTGCCTAAATCAGAGTAGGATAGTACTTTTGCTAGCCAAGGAAGGATGCGAAAGAATATATAATTACAATTAAACAATTGTAAAGAACTCTGGGAATACAGAAAGAACATAAGAGAAAAGGCAGGAAGAAATATAGGACCTCTATTCAAATGTTCCTCTCTTATCTTTGATCATTTCTATAAGGCGTGATAGAAAAATAAAATACGACATTTAACTGAAAGTTTATTACAATAAAAGACACACTGCCATTCATCCCTCTCACTACCCCCACACCACACTTATCCCACCATTCCTGCCACTTGCTCAAGCAGCTCTGGACGTCTTCTGGGAGTGTCTCTAGCTGTGCTATCATGGCTACCTCAATGTCCTCAATGTATTCGACAGTTTTAACTTCCATGGTCATTTTGACTCTGGAGAAGAGCCAGAGGTTGCACTGTGCCAGATTTGCTGAATAAGGCAGATGAGGACATACCGTAATGTTTTCATGTGACTGCCTTTCTGCTGGATGGCATGTAAGCAGTAGTAGTCATTGAATTTTTACCGTACCTTGTAAAGATGCTCATCAAAGAGGACATCAGAAATGCGTTAGAAGTGGCAAGAACAATGGGATAAAAGTGTTTGAAATGAGCCGCACTACTGCAAAGGGGATTAATGGCAATGTGTCTTTCACTGTAATAAATGTTTAACGTCCATGGTATTTTTTGATCATCTCTTCTAGCTTATGTTTATCATAAATGAAAAATAAGTGAAAAATACTATTTAAATTCCTAATTCTGGCCATTGGTTCAGTGTTAGCAATCTCTACATTTAAGCAGTTTGGGGAAAGAAGCATCATTAGGTTATGAAGAAATACATGAGAAACAGAAGCATCACATACATCACATTTTCAAAGTTACTTCTATTTTAAGTGCAGGACTATATTAAAGGGTTATATTTCCATGTAATTCCATGTGAGGATTATAATTTCTAAAAATGAGCAGCTTCTTTTTATTCTATTTTTAAAAGAACTAAGGTTTTCCCTTACAATGTAGTTATCAGCTACCTAAATGATAAAACATATGAATTATATGTGGAAAAAAAAGCAGTTCATCAGCTAACTTATGACTTACATCCACTTCAGAAGGTATGGACAAATTACAGGGACTCCGTTTCCACATATCTACACACTGAAAAATTAAAAATAGCGTAAGTACAAAATTCAAAATAAGTTAAGCTTGCTGGTATAAGCTTTGTTAAAAACATATACTTACATTTCCTGCTTTAGAAATTTTGAGGTCATAATGCTGACCTGCTTTCCTTTCCTTTCGTTTTTGTAAGAAATCAAGCAATTTCAGCTGAGGAGGAGGTGGACCATGAGACAGATCTTGCTGCCGATTTAAAGAAGACCTGGAATATCTCTTGAAACACCTAAAATATTAAGAGATTGGATCTAAACAAAGCTAATAAACTCATGTGTAAGTCTGACTGGTAAGCAATGATTATATAATCAAATCACAAATATTTACATAGTATTACATGCCAAGCACTGTCCTAGGCACTGGCAAAACAAGAATGAGTAAGGCACACTTCCCACGACCATGGGAGCTAGCTGATAGTTCCGAGGGGCAGACGCACACTCACATCCAGAGGGAAAAAGATACCACAAACAGGAACACTGACAGCCACTCATCACAGAAGTGTCTTGGCTCACTCTGCACAGAGGCACTTACCGTTTCATAGGGCGAGTGTTCATCTTTTGCCTGTTATACAGCAGTCTGTTGGCCATGCAGGTTACTGCTATGGAAGGATCAAGACACAGTGGTTCTGCTGTAGCTAGAATCAGCTGGCTCTCAAGCAGAAGTTTGTCCTCCTGAAATGTAGAAGAGCACATGTCAATACCAAATTTAACATTTTTAAACTGGGCGCAGGGGTGCAGACCTTTAATTCCGCTACTCAGGAGGCTGGCAGGGAGAAACGAGGGTGTGAAGCCAACCTGCGGTCCTTAGTGAGACCTTGTCTCAAAAAAAAACAAAAACCATACATATTATAATACTTTACAAATTTTATTTACCCAAATCCAAAATAAATACTGTTTTTTTTTTTTTTTTTTTACTGGTATCACGTAACTTACTTTACCAAATCCTACTTTTTTTGTTTTTTTCCTAAATCCCTGAAATGTCTTAACCATATTTTATGTTATATCTTTGCAATGGTAGGGACAAAACCGAGGACTTTACACATGCTACACAAGTGGCTCTACCACTGGGTTACACCCCCAGCCTTCTATAACAAGTTTTTAAAGTCAAATATTATTGCTGCATAGGAACTTTTGGGGAAAAAATGCTTCTTTTCCCTCCTCTTTTTTTTTTTTTTTTTCTTTTTTTGTGAGACAGGGTCTCACTATTAGCCCAGGCTGGCCTTGAACTCACAGCAATCCTCTTGCCCCAGTCTCCTAAGTGCTGGGACTGCGGGTGTGAACTACCATGCCTGGCAATAGCTTCATTCAACTTTTATTACAGGAATTTTCAAACATACAAAAAAGTACAGGTGTAATGACACCTATGCACCAACACCTAATCAACGCCTTATTTCAGTTAGTGACTATGCTCCTAACTTTAGCTTGTTCTGCTAGAATAACTTAAAATATACCTTAGATGTTACACTCACTTGGGAAAACTTTAGCATGCACTATTAACAGACAAGGACCCCAGTCTATTTAAATTCCTCCTGCCATGATCCAGGTATATTATTTTGAACTTGAACTTAAACGAGGTCTTCTACACACTGTATTTGGATTTTACATCTTACAAGTACTTTTTCTGGTGGTGGTGGCACTGAGCACTGAATCCAGGGCCTTCACACTGAACTATGACCCTGTCCCTTTTTTTGAGACAGCGTCTCTGGCTAAGTCACTAAATTGTTCGGGCTTGCTGGGGCTCAAACTTGTGTTCTTCCTGCCTCTGCCTTCCAGAGTACCAACGTCCTCAGTATGTGCCACTGTACCCAGCTGCAAGCACCTCTTGAATTCTGTACTGACTGCTTCTTCCTTCATCTTTTTTCCTCTTCTCATGGAACCGATTTTGCTGGACTTGAATAAGTCATTTAATTGGATCTGGCTGGTTGCTTCCTCGTCAAGTCACTTAAAGTCTTCTTTTATTCCCTACAAACCGCTAGCTAGATCTAGAGGCTTGATTTAGCCTAGGCTCTGCTTTCCTCACTGGTACTACAATGTCCTACTCTCTCTTTTGCGTCACACCAGGAGGCCTCATTTTCAGATTAGCAGGGTTAGTGATTTCTGAATTATAATGTTAGCAGATTTCTGAATTATAATGTTTCCCATGAACCTCTTGTCTGTTTTCAAAAGGAAGAAGGACTGCTGTCTAGATTTATGAAGACTTCTAAACTGACAATTTTTTTTTAAAGTTTAACATTGCTTTTGTACCTATTAGCTGGAATTTTTCTAAAGAATTTTTTCTCAATTGCTATTTGGCTGCCCAAAATACACTTTATACAGGAATAGAAGGATAAATATTCTATTTTCTCCTTTATCATATTTCAGAGTAAGACAGTGATGCTGTAACACCCTCTGACCACTACCAATGAGCCTTTTCCCCCAACATTCTTCATCGTTTTTTGTTGTTTTGAGACAGGGTCTCACTATGTAGTTCAGGCTGGCCTTGAACTCACTATGTAGTCCAGGCTGGCCTTGAACTTGTAGTGATCCTCCTGGTTCAGTCTCCGTGTGCCACCACACCCGGCTCTTAATACTTTTCAACCTTCTCACAGATGAAAAAATAGCAGTCCAAATTAGAACATGACAACTTGACAGTTGTGGATGAATAAATTTACTTTATAGACATGTTTCACAGAGTGGATAATTTGCACTGGTATTTTCTTTGATTTAGTACTTGTTCCCTCTCTATGGTAGCAAAGGAAGAAGGAAAGGCTCTTGTTTTTGACAATCTCATACACCGTGGGGCCTGAACTAAAGGGTCAACTGGCTAGTCTCAAGGGTAAGCGAGGTCGCTTGACGGTAAGGCAACCTGTATAAGTGCCGCCGCCCCCATAAGAAAGACAGGATAGACCTACTTTAGCATCCTAGATGACGGAAAATCAATTATCTACTTGTAGGCATGGTAAAAACAAAGTATTTTTTTTTTGTTTGAAAGGGGATATGAACTGTTTCATAAGTATGTTGAGTTAGCCTAATTTTGACATGGTCATAGCAGCTGGGCTTGAATGGTTACAGTTCCTTGAGGGATTACTGCATGTATAAAGACTCTTAACTTCCAAAATGCATAAAGGAATCCTAGCTTTTCACACAAAGTGTCAACACATGAATAAAATCATGAGTAGAAAACAGCTTTTGCTTAATGTCTCATACTATATTTTGCATGTTTCGGATTAAAAGCAAAACTACTAACCTGGGTCCATTTATGGTTATCACTTGTTATTGAATGAACATCACAGATTAAAGTCTGGAAGAAATAAAAAATTAAAAACGCATGAATGTGTAATTCACAAAAACACATAAAGTCTTTCAATAAATAAAAACTCCAAATAAACAAAAATTGCCAACTGAACACTCCTACCTGCATGGTTGGACGTAAGAGAATGTGCCTACTTTGGTAACCCGGCGATTTCATATTACTGGACTGCCTGTAGTCCCGTATTTCCGCTATGACACATCCACAGTGGAAAATATTAACCTGTTTTGAGTAAAAACATGCAAGCAAATGTCACCTTTCAAAAGCCTCATTTATTTATTTATTTATTTTTAACACTCTGACATAGTATTTTGGCCACTCACCTAAGTTTCAACAGATTTCCTCGGTGGATATACCACTAGATCATCCTTTTAAAAGGAGTTACTTTATGTTCACCATTATGAATGAAGCCATTTAAAATTGTTTAACAGTTTCTAGTTATAGATGACTTTGGCACCTACAAAGACAACGGACTGGCTTTTGGCAATTATGTACCTGTGAAGTCACAGCTCCTTGGGATCACGGCTTTCCTGAAGCTCAGTGGCTCACTGTTACATGTTGCTACCTTTGGCACCGCTGAAATGCCAATTGATCCTGCCAGTTTCAAGCTCTAGGTAAGATTTCTATACTTGCTGTACTAAAACTTGAAGAAATAAAATCCTAACCCTTATTAACAAGGAAAGAAAAGCTAACTATAAATACAAACTAAAAATACTGCTTTCTGTACACAAATAAAAGCACCATCATCATTCAAGTTTTGTTAATTAGGACTTGCTATGATCATACAGTGTGATGTTCCTCATCCATTCCAAGCTGTCAGCATGTGACCTCTATGCTATCTATCAGTCATGTTTATGTTCACTCTTTTTACCAAACAGCTGCTTTCTGTGTGAGTATGGCGCACTCAGCCACTGCACCCTTGGAGCTCCATCCCCTTACCTTCTTGTCTCCCTTTCCTCATCTCTGATCATCTTTCTTCTACCTTCATGTCATCTCTTTCTCCTTCCCCAGATCCCTCATATGAGGGGAAACGTGTAATACTTGATTTACTGTCTGGCTTATTTCACTGAGCATGACATTCCATTCGTGCTACATTTTCTTTATCCATTGATAATGGATAATGATGCTTAGAGGTATCTAGGCTGTTTATAGCTTTGTGCCACCAAACCTGGCTTGTAGCTTAGCTACTGTGAACTGACCTGCAGTAAACCTAATTGTACAGATACCTCTAGAGCAGTGATGGTAAACCTTTTACAGCTTTCAATTGATACAAACAGTCTGCCATGGCATATATGCCTCAGGTTTGCCACTGCTGCCCTAGAATATACCGCCTTTAATTAGGGAATACAACGAGTGGCATAGATAGATCAAAGGTATCTCTATCTTTAGTTCTTTAAGGGATCTCCATATTGATAGCCAGTGACTATACTAGTTTACCTTCCCACCAAGAATGCAGAGGGGTTCCTTTTCCCAAATCCTCACTACCACTTTTGTTTTCTGTATTCCTGATAGCCATTCTGACTTAGATGAGACAGTATCTCAGTGCAGTCTTGATGTGCATTTCCTTAATGAGTGAACGTGTTGAAAACTTGAAAGGACAGCAGAGGACTGCTGGTGGACTGACGGTGGAATGCAAGAGCAGGGTTACCCATCACATTAAAGAAACTGCTGATGAAATTAGTTGCAAAGGGCTGGGCACAGTGCTGCATGCCTGTAATCTCAGCCCGCAGGAGGCTGAGGCAGGAGGAGTGCCATGAGTTCAAGCCCAGCCTGGACTACACAGTAAGTTCAAGGCCAATCTGAACTACATGGTGACACCCTGTCTCTAAATAAGTCAGTCAGTCAGTCAGTAAGGGAGATAAAACAAAAATTCTATTTTTACAGTGTTAAGTTTAAGAAATCTATTACTATACACATCCAAGTAAAGAAGCAGGGTTAGAGCTTAGTGGAATGGTCATGGTAAGAGGCACAAGCAAAAGAGTAACTTTTTTAAATCAATGAAATTAAATGAGACCACTCAGGGACAATTTACTAAAACAGAGGGCCCAGGACAGAACTCTGAAAGATGTACATTTCTGGAAAGAACAGAGATGACAACACAGAAAACTAAAGGAATAAACAAGGAAGAGGAAAACCAGGAATGTGATGTCTTGGAAGCCAAAGAAGGATATTTCAAGGAAAAAGTCCGTATTTGCCTTAAACTTTGCTCAGAGTCACCTTAGATGGGAACAGACAAGTGACCAGTGGACTCCCAACCATGGAGTCACTTGCAACTTTGACAACAGCAGCTTCCACACAATGGTGAGGCTGCGAGGCTGCCTGGGCTGCATGGGCTGGTGGAAGAAAGACTGAAGGAGGCGATGATTATAGACAATTTAAGTAGATTTGCTGTCAAGAGGGTCAGAACTGTAAAGCAGCAGTTGGAGAAGGAATAGGGTCAAAAGAGAATTTTTTCGAGAGTACAGTATGTTTACATTCTGTATCTAGTAGAAATGAAAATAAATAGGAAGGGGTGTCTTGGTTACTTTTCTCTCACCGAGACAAAATACCCAACGCCCAAAATGAAGGAAGGAAAGGTTTATTTAGCTTACAGTTTGTGGAGGTTTCAGTCCATACTTGGCTGGCTCCGAGGCAGAAGATAGCAAAGCAACAAGAGCAAAGGGGGGGAATGGCAGCCGAATAGCAAAGCAGCCAGAGCAAAAGGAGGAATGGCGGCCAGCAGCTTCTTTCCCTCCATTGTAAACAGGCTACCCCCACCTCAGAGGAAGGTAGCTCTCACATAATCTCCATGCCCTGCTCTTCCACAGGCTCAGGATGTATACAAAGTAAGCACCCTGGCTTCCTGCTGAGTCACTTAGCCAAATCGCCAGACTCCCCAAGTTGACACAATGTATCAACCATAACAAGGGGGCAGATTATAGTTTTAAGACCTAGAGAAGACCTGAAAACAAAAGAGGAAGATGACAGGGAAAACACTCATTCATTTTAACAGGAAATGAAGGAGAAATTGGGGCAAAAGAGTCAGGATGCTAGTCAGCTAGTAACAGGAGGAATGGGGGTGTCCATCTGATGACTTTTTTTCTCAAGAAAGTACCCAATGTGGCTGGGGTTAATTCAAAGAAGAAAGAGACTGCCTGCTACAAGTGGCTATAAGAAAAAGTACAGGCCTAAAGGCTGTTTTCTGACTACTATTTTTTAAAAAAAGCTTCATGATCGAAGTAATTTCTTGATCATAACGACAAGGAGATTTCAAATGATGATCTAACTGTTAGAACAATTTTAGAAAAACTGACTAAATCTGTGTATTTCAGTATGGCAAGAAGGCTAAATATCCTATAATAAACCAATTTCTATTGTCTCATTTCATGCTCGAAACATGGTTGGGAATACATATTAGAAGTGTAACATACATATATAAATATATATGCATATACCACGAACATAACAAATATAAGGATATTTTAAATATTTATTTATTTGTTTTTTGAATCAAGAGTCTCATTATGTAGTTCGGGCTTGTCCTGAACTCACTCTGTAGTTCTGGCTGGCCTTCAAAGCGATCCTCCTGCCTTAGCTTCCCAAATACTGGGATTACAGGTGTGTACCACCAAGCCTGGCTAAAAATTTATTTTTAAAAGCAAGCTGGTCTTGAATGTTTAGGCTCCAGAGAGTGTCCTCCCTCAGGCTTCTGAGTAGCTGGGACTAGAGGCATGAGCCACTGTGCCTACCATAACATTTCTAAAGAAAAAATTTGGGTCGGGGACACAGCTCAGTGGTACAAGCGCCTGCCTGGCAAGTACAAGGTCCTGAGTTTGATTCACAGTACCAAAAAAAGCTTAAAGAAAAATTTTATACCTGAGATTTTTCTAGGAGATCAACCAAAATAGGAGGTAATTCTTCCGCATCTAAGTACTCAAGCAATTCTCCTTCTTCATAAGGCAGTCGAATGGTCTCAGAATCTTAATGTTAAAACATAAAATGAAGTTTAGGAAAATTAGGCCCACAAAAAAGCTTAGGTGCAGAAGTTATATGACATTAAAAAAAGAGGAAGAATAGGGCCAACATCCTTTTCAAAGCTTTACAAATGAATGATATGTTTACTAAAAGATCAGTTAACTGTGTAACATTTTAGACTGGAGAGGGAAAGCAACTGGAAAACAGAGTAATAATTTGGCAGTTCATCCACAAACTGGTCACTTTTAAAACAAAATTCTCTTGGTGCTACATTTTACAATTAAGTAGTATTTAACACAAATAAAAATTCTTATCTGAATGAACTCCTTATAGAACTTATACTTATCATTATGCAAATTTCTAGATACCTCTTTAGTGAAATCTAGGAATATTTATATTTTAAAACTGTTCATTCACATTAATAGAATTTTTTTTTTTTTTTTTTTAAGAGACAGGGTCTCACTGCATAGTCCAGGTTGGTCTTGAGCTCACTATGTAGTCCAGGCTGGTCTCAAATTTAAGAGTGATCCTCCTGCCTCAGCCTCCCGAGTGCTGGGATTACAGGCCTGCACCACCACGCCCAGCTCCTAATAGAAATACTTTAATACCTGAACATTACTTAAAAGCATTGAATCTGCTTATTTTTAAAGATTTCAGATTCCTTTTCACAATGCAGCACAATTTAAAATATATTACACTACCTTAAAACACAAATAGCAACAGATCAAAAGGAAATTCTTACAACTTTTTAAAAACATGTTTTATGTAAGCTGACTTCAAAGACAAAACAATCAGAATACTTTTCAAATGTATGCTCAGGAAGAACAATCACATACAATACTTTCTAATGTTCTAGCGAAACAGTAAGAGAAAACCCTGTTTTTATCACTAAATTGGCACTGATCTGAAGGACAAACCATTAAGTAGGGTAAGAAAGCAATTTTCAAAAGCAGCACGTTCTGTCACTGGCAGACATATTTTGTGGCCTCTGTGCTTTGGAGGTTCTTACCTGATCCATTCTTCCCCCTGAGCATCAGAGAATATCCCTCATTTCCTGGGTACAGATTGACCACTAAACATGACAAAGTCTCTTGCATAACAAGCTTCTCTAACAAGTTCACATTTCTTCTTAATTTCTGCTTTAAAAAGAAGAAGAGCTTATGAAAATAATCCAGTATAACCTTGGAAAATAATGCTGTAACTTAACAAAATCAAATGTGAATCAATCTTTTGGTGGTTCTTCTATGTTATGATCATGAATAGATGGGGAAGATTCATAATCCTCTAGCCACTCTAGATGATAAAGCAATGTATCTACTACATTTTATGAAAATTAATTCATGTCAAGAAAACTTAGTAATCTACAAAATAAAATTACTTAAATGTAAAATCTCTACTTCTAATATGTAAGTAAAAAATAAAGGTAACTAAAAAGTCATTCAAAATAAATATATAAAATACTTTATGTCTATGTCCAAATGAAGATTTTAGGCATTCTCTTAACTTGGATGGCAAAAACTACACATTTGTTCAATATTTTACCACTAAAGTTAGATCGAAACAAGTCCAATAGTTTCTCTAACTGGTAGAAAGCAAGTTGTTTATGTAACTTCCTTTTTTAGACAAGTCTTGGTAAGTTGTCCAGTTGGGGCTCCAACTTATGCGCCAGTCCCAGAGGGGTGGGACTATAAGAGTGCTTAGGTGGGCATGCTGGCACAAGCCTATAATCTCAGCACTCAGGAGGCTGAGGCAGGAGGATCGCTGTAGTTAAGGCCAGCTTGGACTACATAGTGAGTTCAAAGCTAGCCTCAACTATATAGTGAGACCCTGTCTCAAAAAAAAAAAAACAAAAAACAAACAAGAAGGGGCACTTGGCTTTGTATTTGTCTATAAAGATTTTAAAGGTTATATACTACTAGAATTCTGCTATTTTTGCCTCAATGACACAAGGTATTCACTTTCACATTAAAAATGGACAAAAGATGCTCAGAAAACCCAAAAAGGCCCTTTTAATCTAGGGGTTCAAAAGATATCAAGTAGTCAATTTCTATTATATTTCTACTATAGACATCTTTATGCTAAATAAAATTAATTAAGTTTAATTGTCCATGGGTTTATGACCAAATTCACCTTAAATTACTACATGGGAATTTCCTATAGCCTGTAATAGCACTGACATTCCAGTACAAAAGTACACTGACATTTCCAGTACACCCTAAGGAAATAGGTTACTTTTATACTCGGTTGACATATCACTTCTCAAAGGGAAGCAGCAACCAAAGGTACTGACGTGGCTTTGGGATACTGTGTTCCTTTACACACACTGCATCCTATTCCCACCTCAACAGGCGACTCTGGTGCCTGGGGTCAGCCTAACTGACTAGTGTCTGCTTGGAAAAGATGTTAGTGTACCTACAAAAATATGAATTAACTGTTTCAAATTTCACTCCTAAAATTTCCCTCTTTCATTACATTTCAAAAGCCACAATGTCATAAAGAATAGACACTTACCTTAACCTCAGGTTCTTTTTCACATTCCTCAATGTATAAGTCATAAAGTTTTTGAAATACAGATTTCCTAGAAGAAAATGAATAAAGACAAAGTATAAAACTTTAATATAATAATTAATGAAATAAACGCTGTTTTAATGATTTCTGTACTTTCCCAAAACTTGGAGATGAGGTGGGGATGCTGTCTAAAATCAATTTAGAAATTCCTAATATGCCCTGAATACCCCTATTGAAAATTATTGAGACCAGAAGTTTGTTTTAGATTTCTTCAGATTTTGTAATATATACATATATGTAATAGTTACCTTGAGGATAGGCCCCTAAGTGAGACATGAAAATGACTTGTTTCATTTACACTTATACAACTAGGCTAAAGGAAATTTTATACAATACTTTCAGCATGCCTGTATTTTGACTATGAACCACCACATCAGGCCAGATGGAAAATTTCCCACTGACACCATGTCAGAGCTTTAAAAGTTTCAGATTTTGGAGTAATTTGGATTTGCAGATTAGGGATGCTCAATCTGTATATGCCAAAAAAAAACTAAAGCATTTCTAGCCCAGTGCCTAGGAAAACAGTATTTACTGTTCAGTTAACATTTGTTCACTACCACATTTCAGCAAGTCTAAGGTATTATCAATGGCGTGGCATGTGGCACATGCCTGTAATCCCAACACTGGGAGGCTGAGGCAGGAAGATCTTTGTGAGTTTGAGACCAGCCTGGGCTACAAAGTGAGCTCAAGGCCAGCCTAAGCTGCACAGCAAGACCCTGTCTCAAAAAAGACAAACAACAACAACAACAACAACAACAACAAAACCATATTATCAATTAAGTACTCATACCTTCCACTTGACAGGTATTTCCTTTTAGGAGGTCTCTGCCGAGCACTTTCAATGACATACTAACAAAAGAAAGTTTATGAAAACAGCTTGCCTTTTGTTTCATACATAAACAACTAAATTAAATACTGTATATCTAAAACATGAGGCTAAAAAAGGCTATATAGTCACTAAAGTCTTTACTCATGTTAATTTATATCCTATAGGAAAAAAAAAACGACTTCTAGTTATATTATAAATGAGTAGCCGGGCGTAGTGGCACAGGCCTATAATCCCAGCACTCCGGGAGGCTGAGGCAGGAGGATCATTGTGAGTTCAACAGCCTGGGCTACAAAGTGAGTTTAGCACCAGCCTGAACTGCAGAGCAAGACTCTGTCTCAAAAAGACAAAATAAAAAATAAATAAATAAGTAAACACATGAGTAAAATTTAAACTGCACTCTTTAGGCAGTATTTCATTGCTATGAACCATAACTTCACAGGTCAGAAACATCCTTAATGTTTTATGGCTCTCAGTATGCTTGATGTATTAAAAATTGTCTACCTAATCAAGAGGGTTTTTTTAAAGCTACTTTACAAAACTTGTCAAAACAGAAAAACAATTTTAAAAATTCTATGCCCTTGTTCAAATACTTTTTATTTCAAAGCATAATAAAAATTTTTATTTCAAATAACAACGAACCAACTCTCACCTGGTATTTCTATATATTTACAGAAAAATTACTTCCAGTCTTGTTCTAAAATAATATTAATACACTCCCTTGAAGATAAAAATATCTCTTAAAATTGAGCTTTTGTCAATTATAGACAACACTAATTTCAGTATGTAATTTAGTCAGGCCTCACCTCTGCACGGTCCAAAGCTAGTTCTAAAGCTTGTTGCTGTAAAAAGTAAACAGGGTATTTGGTAATATTAGTCATTTTCATACAAAAAAAATTTAAGAAACATTTAACATTTCTAGCTAAGAGCTTCAACATTTCATTTTCTAGAAAAGAGTCAATGTGTTCTCCTTTATTTCTTTCTTCAACCCACTGTGTGATCAAGGAATATAACAAAAGAAAAGCATGGAAGTGTGGGGAACTTTACCGTGACAACAAGCAGGTAAGAACTACTGAAAGGTGTCCGCCAGCATTTGTGAGGCTGATACGGGGAGCTATAGATACGGTGGTTACCACTGTTCACCACTTTTAATTTGTTCAACATTCTAAAACTACTGTTTAAGAAAAGATACTGGCCGTAACTCATGTAATCAAAGTGAAGCAAAGACTGACTTGTCCTAATTTGCTAACAATCCTGAAAACTGAGAATAGGGTTGTGCTGGTATCTAATATCACCTCCAATTCCTAGTAAATTAATGCAAAAACTCGACTTAACATCTCTAGCTCAGTGCCTGATAGAAATGCAGTAAATGGGACCTATCACTGCCACATTTAAATGAATTCAAGATGCCACTAATTATAAGCATGCATCATTATTTTAGGTGACATTAAGGAAAAGAAGCTGCCAATTATAGTTCAAAGAAGTCACTGATTATAGACTCATTATCAATTCAGTAATATCAGAATATAAAAAATGCATCTTAGATTTGCTAAAATGCAGTATAATTACTACATGCAAGATCTGGAATCTACTGGTGGATCCCTACCCTCCATGCACTTCTTGGAGAAGCTCATTTTCAGGTAAGAGGGAAAAATAAGGTAAGCTATGTTTTCCTCATCTATGAAGCTTTCTCTTGTGAAGATACAAATAAAAACCACTACGTTCTAAAGTCAAACAAATATACCACTAGTGATTTCTCTTTCTAGTTTGTTTTGTTTGCCATGCACAGTTCAACAGTATTCTTCACTCACAATGACAGTTGTTTCAAATTTCCTTCAGAGGCACAGAAGTTCAGTTTTCATTTACACTATTTTTCAGATTCTAATAATAAGCTATGACATTTCTACAGGATATAAAAACTCCCAGCACTAATCAACACCCCACCAGGATGGAGGAAGAACAAATACTGCCACCTTTCGGACCTCATAGGAAATTTTAAAGAACTCTGCACACTAATCCTAATGATGGAAAACTCCTATGTTTATAAAAAATTGGCCTTTTTAAAGACTGCAATCAAAACTGTATTATCAAACATCTAAATGTAGTAAGAGATGAAAGCCTGAAATCTACCAACATCTAAAAAGGTCCAGTTAAAATAAACCTATCCATTTATTTTATTGAAAAAGCGTAAAAGAACAATGAAACTGCTTCCCAGTAGAGTCTTGAATATAATCCATTTCCCAGCAAGAAAATGTAACTGGATATATACTGTAAAAATATGCACGGTTCTTTTAAATTTTGCTCATGCTATAATAAACACAATCAAATACATACTCTAGGGCCACTTTATTTATTTATTTATTTATTTATTTATTTATTTATTTTTTGGTTTTGGTTTTTCTCCGGTACCGGGAACCGAACTCACGACCTTGCGCTTGCCAGGCAGGCGCTTTTGCCGCTGAGCTAAATCCCCAGCCCCCTCTAGGGCCACTTTAAACAGCCAGTCATCTCAAGTATTTCCTCTTCTGTAATCTAAACTTGAAAAGGGTTGGCGAGATACACTTGCATCCTTCATCCACTACTGCCTTCAAAATCTTGGGAGGGTTACCATTAAGTAAAACATGCAAAAGTCACATGAAGTCAGAATCCCACTGTGCCAGTTTCATGTTTCTCTAATAGGGCACAGGTATATAGGCAAATCACAAGAGGACAAATAAGATAAATATTTTCTGAGGTTTGTGATGCTGAAGAGGGGTTTATAAAAGAATTATTCTATATGATCGTGTTCACTGGTTTTCTGTCAAATATTCTTTCATAAAACATTAGAAAGTAGTTCTTCTCACTTTGGTCCTTAATATTTCAAAGGTGAAAGTTAAGGTCAGTGAATAAAAACACATCATCAGAAGGCTAGCATTAACACTGTTTAAAATGTTAGGTACAGCCCAGCATGGTGGTGCACTTGGAAGGCTGAGGCAGGAGGATCACCACGAATTTGAGGCCAGCATGGCCTGTACAGTGAGTTCAAGGCCAGCCTGAAATACATGGTGAGAGATTCTGCCTCAACCAAAGAGGAAAAAAAAAAAGTTATGTGCAGAAAGCAAATTACATTTATTCTCAAATTTTAAAAAAGTTTAAAGAGCAACTTACAACCTTCAACTCCTCCAAATTATTTATATTTATACCCATCATCCTTGCAACTGGGAATACGGCAAAGTAGTTACAAGTAAAATTTTAACACATGGAGTACTCTTGTGACTTGGATGTGGTAATCACATCACTGAACTAAGAGATGAGCTTTGGATTTTACAGACAAGGTTTTGCACACGACTGCTAAGTAGTTTCCTCTTTAGGATAACTTGTGCAGCTTACAACAGTATTTTTGTATCTATAATACACGTATTTTTACGGAGATGAAAAGAACATGCTAAAATATAAATCTGAACATATTGAACAGTAGCTTACCATTGTGACCTAAAATTGGGGGCCAAAAGGAAACTTATGTGCGCCGACGAAGTCGGATGAAAACTGTCTTTAATATCAATCTCATATACTGTAAAAATAAAAATAAAATCGCCACCATAAGGCTCTAAAGAAAAAAAAAACAAGAGTTTGTAATTAACGGAAAATTACCTGAGGCATGTATATTTCAAACACGTTAAAAGATACTTGGCAACAATAAAATTCATGTCCTACAGCCTACCTACTCATTGCTGAAAAGTAGTTTTAATTCAGCAAAGGGTTTCTCACTTTTTTCGCAACTATTTTAACACCCTAGGAGAGGAAAGAAAAAGTGGTTTTCAACTCTCATTCCTGCACCATTACTTTCCCTGTGGATTATTCTAACACCCTGCCCATTGGCCCTGACCACGCCCCCATTCACTTTACAAATCAGACTTCATCAGGGCTGCTGATCAAAATTCTGTAAAGATACTCTCCCAAATGCCCTAAACTGTATTTTCTAGGTGCAGCTTCAATCCTGGCAGCCTTTCTTAAGAAAACTACACACAACTCTGAAGACGTCCTTACCCTAAGGGGTTCCCATTCTACCTGCAACACCAATTAACACCGGAGAGTTTCAACAATGGGGTGCCCCTGCTCCCCGCCTCAAGGACTGTGAACAACTGGCCTGGAGGGGGCTCCAGGGATCAGCCTACTTGGCGCACTACAGGTGATTAGAGGCTGCGCCAGTGTTGAAGCCCACTCTCCTAACCTTTCTGCACACCACAGAGACGGTACAGGTTTGGTCTGACAGTAAGGATAAACAAAGCTCACATTTAGTCTAATTCTTCTCTGAAATCCTTGTAACCACAGCTGCATGTGTACATAACAGAGCTACAACTTCTACTGACAGAAAACGAAATTTCCCACGTGAAAACGTTTTGTTTTTTTGGCGAGCCCCAAACTTCACATTTTTGCCAGCTGAGGGTAAAAAAAAAAAAAAAAAAATCAGAAGGAATTTCAATAACAAAAATTAAACACCATGGGCTAATGCATCCCTGGCACTTTCTACTTTCCAGGAATAATCACTTTGCAAAAGGAATGACATCAACCCTACCTTCTAACTGTTTCTAGGTGTAAGCTTAATTTAGGTTAAGCTGGAAGCTTTTTGACAAATGTAAACATAAAGACACACTACTTACTGACAAGCACAATGTGATGGCTTTGAAGTTAAGGTGTCATGACATTGGAAAGGGCGGTTGTCACTTTAAATTATTTAAGTACTCTACTGCACACGAAACCTAATAAATAATTTTGTGTGTCTCTGTCAAAGCAAACACTGTACACAATTTCGCAGCACCCGTGACAGAAACGCCTTAACGATCACCGTCGTCCCGGCACGCAGCACCAGGGATCCAACACCCGACCTGAATTCACCCTTCTCCGCAATTTGACGCTTAGGTTCTACACTACCACCTTCAAGCCGGCGCCCAGTCCTAGACTGTCTTTTAAACAAGGCATGTGAAACAAACACCGAGTTTTACTCAGAGACTAACATAAAATTTTTCCACCGGACTCTAGCACAGCGATCCCCCGCGACAAGCTGTACGCAACCTCACGCGGGCGGAGCCCTGGCCGGCGCGCTGCACCCC